TAGAAAGAAATAATAAAATAAAGGGGAAATGCGCTGCCTTTATTAATTCTAAATCAGGGCGGGCGGAGATTGAATGCAGCAAGAACGCTTCCACGAAGAGAGCTCTTTGCAGCGGAAAAGAAACGGAAACAGTTGAGAATGCACTTAAGTTCGCCGTGCCTGATGAAGTGCACTTGCAGGTGTTGCCATTTGTTGCTATTAACGGGTGAATGCCGGGTGATTGGCACCTGGCGGAGAGTTCAACGAGTTCAGTAAACAGCCGCAAAAGGCGGAAGAGCTGGCAGACCACGCCTAATTCTGACCCAAATACCCCTTTCAGCGTCATCTTACGCGCCCCATTTCGCATGCCGCATGCCGCATCACGTACAAAGGCGCTGTGAGAAATCGTGAAAACAAAATACGTTCCAGGCACACGGTGCAAAAAGAAAAGCGCCGAACTATGCGGCTTGGCTAGAGATTTTATAGCAGAACTTAGAACTTCTTGTTTCTGTTTTAAACACAATAAGGGACTTTATGCAAGTTATCTAAAAGTATTTTATATATAGTATAATCTATATAATATGTAATTTAAACAAAAAGTGTAACCAGTTTTGCTTGTGTTTTTTCAGTACACTTACAGACATCGACACTAGAATGCATGCTCTGGCATTAATAGAGAAGAAAGAAATGCAAAATGCTTAGACGTGCCCCCCTCAACAACCTCTGGCCCGCAGAAGCTACAATGGAGGTATAGGCGAGCCATGACCAACGTTGCGTATGAGTAATGTTCGGCTTTCTTTGCTCGTTTTTTCTGTTGACAGTGCTGTGAGTTTATCCATTTATCCTAGCGCTTTGGTCAAATTTGAAGCGAATTTGCATAATGCGTATATTTTAGCTGCATTGGAACACAAAAATGTTGCTCCATGCCAGCACTTGTGTTAGAAATATTTTCAGTGATAAAGAATTTGGATAGAACGGAAAATATTACATTTTTAAAGCTGCCTATTTCTTGGCTGCTGGCAGCACTGACTACAGCCCGCTATCCGTCTTTGATCGATGTGAGTGTGTGGGTAAGTGTATACACACACTGTACACACTGGACTGGAAAGTAGTTTTCAATTAGCTTAGTCCAGATAGCAAACCCCCATTGAGCAGTTCTGAGTGCTTTGTTTTCCCAGTTACTCACTCATGGGTCTTCTGAATTTGGTGGTTCCATCAGGTAACTATTTCTGACCAAATGTTAAAATTATGTCAACATTATTATTTATTGGGCATAGGCTACATAACTGCATCTAAATGCCATTTTACGCTTCATTAAAACTACTAGTGGTCTGAAATATTCCATTGAAAGTGTTTAGAGATTGAACACTTCAGTACAGAATAGTACAATCCTTTTAATTAGTAATTCAAATATTTATAATATTTATTAAGGGTATTCACCGTTCGTTCTTTTAGCATTTCACAAGTCTTCGGCTTAAAGCGGCTGGCCAACTTGGTTTTCTGTTGGCCAAAACAACAGCAAAAACAAAATCATCTGCCAATCCAAACGGTTGACTAGGCAATAGGTGAAGACAGAAAAAGAGGAGACTGCAGACTGCGGACTGCGGCACATTTGTTTTCATCGGCAATTGGCAAGTGAAAGCTTTTAGCGCGAATTGTGCACGGCAATCACTTCAAATGGAGAAGAAGCCAAAAGCGGCTTCACCGGATCTCCGCCTCTTCTGAAAAGTCCATCTATAGGAATCTTTGGTTGCTGCTTTAGCAGACTTTCAAATATGCTACCTTGGCTTAAAATAGATGCTCATAACGGCTGGACAATAAATAAAGTTATTAAGAATAGAGAAATTTAGTCATTACAATAGCTAAAAACTTCTATGCCAAAAGCAAATATGCCTTACAAAAATGTCTGTAGAGCATTCCCAGTTCGCCACTGAAAACTTTTCCGCTGCGAATCCTTTGGCCACCTGTTTTGGCTGGTCGAATAATTTCCCGCAAAATGCTAAGCAGATTACTTTTAATGCCTCGAGCGTAACGACTGCGGCAGTTAAATTTTGTATTCGCCGCCGGATCCTTGTGTAATGCAGTAGTAAATTTCTTAATGCCCTTTATGCCCTGATTCCGCACTTTAAATCAAACTCCGGCTTACCCAATCAAGGCATTCAAGCTCCCTCCTTTTTCGAGTGTGCGGTGATTATTTGAGCATTGACTCCAATTGACTGCAGGTCGCTGGGGGTTCAGTGTGCTGGCAGTGTACTGATTAATAAAGCCCCGGGCCCCGAGCCCCGGGCCCATCGGTGAATTTGTTTTATTCATAAATTTATAACCATCGGCCGTAACGAATGGCAGCCGTTTGGCGAATGTTTTATTGCGTACATAAATTGCAATTAGTCCCAGCTCCCGTTGGGATAAATGTGAGCACACGCATGTCGTCGCCAGGGAGCCACTGCCTCTGGAATGACGAACTGGCCGCAGCCTGGCTAACAGCGACCCCTCGCCACGTCGGTGGGTTAACCCAAACATCAATTGACTTATTAATGTTTGTCCTGCCTGCCGGGAAAACAGTGGTGCATGATCAGGAAAAAAAGCCGCCTTCAAGACATGGTCGCCTCAATTGGATTCATGTGGCGTCCGTTGGGACATTTCGGTGGTCCGCCCTTTGCCGCAGTCACGTCTGCATTTAATGTGAAATTATGACTTTAATGGCCATTCAAATGTATGTATACTTGGAGTAAATTGGCTGTACACTCCCAATTTAGAGGGGACTCTTTAATTGCGGGCAAAGGTCAAGGAACTTTGCCAAAAGGAAACAGAACAAGAAATAACCCAAATGCGAAGAGTTCTATTTAATGAAAAAGAGACATTTTTTATGGGTATTTAATCAAATGAATACCCATCCTAGGGTCAACATTCAACTGACACTTGCAGCTGTTGAAATCTCTTTAAAATACCACAAAAAACAAAGTCCAGCATGGTGAATCCCAATTTGATTGATTGACTTTGGTGTGCCTTTGTGCATGTGTGCTTAGCTGAGTTCGCAGGGAAGAAACCAGGATACTTTTTACTCCACGGACAATCCGATATGTGTGTGCTTGTGCCGTGGCTTCCTTTCACGCTGTAGGCAAACGCAATGTAAAAACATTTAAGGTTTCAATTAAGTGAAATGCCGAACGACCAAAAAAATACATGGGCGCAAAAAGGCAAGGCCTCCGAATGACCAAAGATGGCCCAGGATGAGGCTGAAATTTTTCAAGCAATCAATTTGGCTTTCCAGACTACAGAAAGGGAAAGACCATATATATATGTATATATATACATGGTGGTCTTATACTTGAATAAGCTTCTGCAGGCAATACTGAACCTAGAACAAGAGTTTTTGGCTTAAAGCTGGACCGTTTTTGACAAACGGTTGCCGCAGAAGACCAAAAAAAAAGGTGGAGGACCAACCCTTCAATCAAATGTCAAAGTTTAGACTGTAACAGTCACTTGAGTTATATTGAGATTTATTATGGCTCGTCCTGCAGAGCGAAAAGTGCGAGTGCCAATCATTAATTATGATCGACCGGTAGGCAGCTCGTTTTTATTCGTTTTCAACAAATATTACACGGATGCTGGGCTGTAATTTATGCGCCAGCCTGCATTTCATTTTCACTTGCAGTTTTTCATGAAGTGCCCGAAAGTCGAAACCCACTGGCAAAAAGTGGCTCTTGGCCATTGGCCAAATGCCAGAGTTGCCTATGTGGGTGTTTGCACTGGCTCAAGAAATCAACAACTTACACTTTCTTTGGGCGGAGCATCCTTCGAGCCAGTTGTTTTGACACTTTTGGGCCAAAACCAAAAGTTTCTCCTGCCCGAAAGCAGACTTTTTCAGGTGCATAGCATTCCCTAAACGGAAATCTCTCCAGATGGTATAGAAAATTTGTATCAACTTAAATAAAAAGCCAACTATTTTATCTCATTAATATATATTTTGGAAGTTTTTTTTTATATTACTAATTTCTGTCCGTATTTTCCCGCTTTTTTGCTATTTGGCGCCACCGATTAAGGGTCACACAACTTTTGGCAGCTAGCTGCCTTTCTGCCCTTTCGCAGGACCCTGTTTGCAGGACAAACTGTTCGTTTTTTGGTGTTTTATCTGGCCGTCGATGTTCTGGCTTAACCCAGTTGCAGGCAGTTTCGCAAGTTCCCATTTCACCGGCAATTTTATAATCAGAATTCTCGAAATAAGGAAAACTTTGCTATGTAAATTAAATGCTGAAACCAGCAACTTTTTTCAAACATTTCTTGCCGCTCGTTCTTCTTGTATGGGTAGCCCAGAAAAAAAATTAAACCAAATAAATACAAGAGCTGCAGAACAAAAAAGTCCAAATTATATATACGTAATACGTTCACTTTTTTTTATTGTCGCCAGGGCAAAGGCAGCGGTAAATAAATGTGGTTTAAACATGACAAGCAGCCGTGGGCTGCCAGCTCGTTATCACCAAATATTTTTGCACACGAAATGAGTGAATAAATAAGCCAGGCAAAAAAGTGAGCGACCAGAACACGGCAAATAGCTCCTGCGAAAGTCGGAGGTGGATCAGAAGCCATATAGCCACAAAGCCGCAACCAAGGCGACTTGGGTCAGCGTTTATGGTCGTCACTTTTTGGCCGCTTGTTTGTCAAATAAAACGTGAAAAGTCAGCTCGTCAGACCGTCGCCTGTGCGTCAACCAAAAAGAGTAACCAATAAAAGCTTAATTAACTGTTTATGGCCATGGCATGCTAACAGGGTCCGTACCGAAAAGACGTGCCGAATTTTCGACCTAAGCCTAATATGAAGTGAACTGGGAACCCACGGACCCCGACCGTAAAAACTGGACCTTGTAAGTGCGGAATATGAAAGCCATTCAATCAATTCGGCAAGCAGCCCTGGTTACTAATACTAAAACTTACTTACTAGGGAAAAATATATGGGGTTTTTATTTTATTACATAAATCAAAGAACGCATTTGTATCCATCTTTGTTGATTTAACTGTCATTTAGTAGGTTTAAAGTGGCTCAGAAAGCGTAGGACTTATATATATTTGTATAGCTTTTGGTCAAACAAAATCCGTGTGCTGCTATTGAATTTAAAAACTACATCTACATTGCAACTATGTCAGAGGAATTCATCGTCCGGGACCAGTTCCAAATCCCAGCAGCAACGTCTAACGAAAGTCAGAGTTCGCTCGGAAACGATCCGAAAATCGAGCCGGAAAAGCAGATGGTTTGTGATGAAGTAGACAGCACGTTGAACATTGGACGGTTATTTGAGACAAATTTCGAGGTTTCCGAGGAGGCGGACATTTTGGAAGTTCCAGAGAAAGCGAAAGATACCACAGGCTATAACACACCAAATGAACCAGCGCTGGAGGAGATCTCGTTTGTAGAAGAGGAGGAGGAGCTCAGTTCCGGATCATCCTTTACATCCTGTTGCTCGTACCGATATATGCGAAAGTCGATTCTCTGCAGGGAGATACGTGACGCATCCACCTTGAGTTTGGATAGTGGCATTGATATTGTTTCCCCAATCGATCGTTTTCTCAATCGGGATCTGGAAACAGACCAGGATCAGTTGCAAGGAACTCCCTTATATCCAGGTATTGAGAAAAGTAGCTCATCCGTCCGGATCGTAATGGAGAAAAGATCAATGACTGTCTCTTCCGAAGATAGCGACTGTGATTGCGAGCTTAGCTTGGACGAAGTTCACCAACGCTTCTCGGCTTGGTTCAATCACAACGAAATAGACTCCGCTTTTTCCTGCTTTATGCAGGCGGATGAAGACCTGGACGGCTACATATGTCTGGGAGAGCTGAAGAGATTCCTGGAAAAACTCGAGAGGCCGCAAACCCACTTGGCCGCCAAAAATTTAATGACCCATGTGGTGGGAAATCACGCGGTACGAATGCACTTCTGCCATGCGCTTCTTATTTACGGAACTGTTTTAAACCGCTTGGAATTAAAGAAGTGGCATCTATTGAATCGGGAACGGCAGCGTTTGGCCCGAAGTAAAGCGGTAGACGTGTCCAAAGTGGGTGTTAGTGGTGCAAAACAATTTTTCGAAGCCAAAATAGCACTGCAAAATGATCCCTTACCAATTAACTCGGATCAAACGGTGGCCAGAGTTCCGGTTCAAACATTGAATAAGGAGGACACAGACCCTAGAAGAGTAAATTTTAAGTCCGCTGCCGCTCTTTTTAAAAAGCTCGAAAGTGAGCAGTAGTCAATTCGCGTGGAAGCCTTCAATGCAAACCATACAATTCTGAATCAAGAGTGTTGCGCCAAATTTCCAGTTGAATTACTACAAAATTTTGAGTTTTATTACAGACTGACCTTGTATCTACTCCATAGCTTTCCATAAATCATTTGCCAATAAAAAGCGATCCAGGAACGCAAACGCTGCTTAAGTGACCAATCAAAGGTAATCGGTCTGCAGAAACCATACCTCCACTTTCTGATACTCCCACTTCTCGTGGGGCGGCTACTTTTCAATTTTATTTCCTTCCTTTTATTATGCCCAATAGTGATACCAGTTCAGCTTTTTTCGGCTGAACCTATTTTTCACGAATTTTTTTTATAATGGTTGGTAACTTGGTTCAGCCCAGCCAATTGAAATAAATTGTCAACTTAAGTGGAGCAATGGTTTTTATCAGTTTAGTTTCCGTGGTTCTCCTCGCTACGAGGCAATTCTTCATTTCCGGGGCATCCCGGAAAAAACGGCACCACTGGCAGCTGGAATTTGGCTGGGGCAACGACTCCCCGAGGAGCCAAATGTGCGCCACACACGCCAAGTGGCAAGTTGGACGACTTTCCGGAAGTTACCCGGCGGCCTCCAGTCCTCAGGGCATAAAAATATTTTCGTGCAAATAATTTGCGCTCTTAACTACGCCGGGTATTTCGATACGTATTTGCATACCCTTGCGGGCCATGGATAAACCGACAAACTGCAAGGTGAGCGTTCATTTGGCCGGGATATCAAAAAGTTGGCCTCGCCAAAAACCAGGCACGCCACACAATTATGCTGCCATTATGGGGGCTGTGTGCTAATATTTATAACTGATTTCGATTCGGGGGCAAGCCCCGAGTGGAGGCAGTAGCCGGTTGCTGGCCACACGCCATATACAAATTAAAACGAAAGCGGCGGACGCTGCGTATACGCAATATCGCGGAAAATAATGTTATAAAAATCCAACTAAAGCCAAGCAGGAAGGCGATGCGTCGAAAGGCATGGGAAATAGTTTTCAAATTAAAATAAACGCCGCAGCTGTAACAACTTTCATGTGCCCACAGCGGGGGAGGTGGTTGGGAAATTGGGCAAGCGGGCGGAAAAGCGGTAGGACTTTTCCTCCGCTGCTCGACTCGCAGTCAGCCAAAATGCCATGAAAGTAAATTCACTAGAAAATTAATTATGAACGACGATGGCGATGACAGCGATGATGGTGACGTCGTAAGTGAAACCAATGCAGCGTTTACCGGAAAAGCAGAGGTCGCAGTGGGGTCAAAGGGCGGCGGAGAGTGGCCCTGGGCGAAGGCATGACCGGCCATACCTTTTAACGGCATTGCCATCAATTTCGCTCAATTGCACGCACAATCGCATCTAATCACGTCGGAACGACCCCCGAAAAAGGCTAACAGGGTAAGTCAAAAAGGCGAAATGGTGCCAACAAATCGATACCTATTTATACTAACTTAAACAAACTTTTTTGTACAGTATCTAAATAGAAAACAAACCTGGCGCCAACCGATTGCTTTTAAATACATAACTTTTCAATTGATTTCATTCAATTGTTCTTTTAGAAATAAGTAACACTCTTTTCCTAGCTTATATTGTAATCCCTAGTTAACATAGAAAAATGAACATTTAATTCCTTTGTACATTAGCCTGACATACCTTTCTTAACTTAACTTGAGTTGCACTACAACAAAGCGGGAAAACTTCGGGATGTCCTGACAAAATGTTTATGGTTATTGCTTTATGGTTGCCTGCGCAAGTGTGAGTGCGTGAGGCCCTTCGTGTGTGTGTGCACGTGTGTGGAAAGGGAAAAGGGTCACGTGTCAGATGTCATTGACACGGTTTGCCTTGCCTTTAAGCGTTTGCAAACAAACCAGCACAAACAAGCGCGGATGAGAGGCTGGGCGCCGAAAAGTATGCCACGGTTTTTGCCTCATTTGCGCTCAACTTTTTCTGCCCCGAGAAAAAGAAACCATGTGGATGGTACAGCCCCACTTCCACCCACCCACACCCTCACCCACACCCACTCACTGCCAATTGCAATTAGTTGATGTAATAATTTCTGGCATCTGCGTAGTATCTTCGTCCTCCGCTCATAATTGACAGGAGCCCAGATACACAGCCTAGTTCTCTAGAGATAGGAACATGAACATAGACTCTTCGTTATAAAGCTAAATGTCAGCCTGTCAGCATGCCTTAAATTCAATGCCACGAAGTTTGGTCCGGTGTCCAGTATACAACACAATATTTTAGGGACATGGACTAGAATCCCTCGTCTCACTTGATAACGCATACCAATTTTTTGTATATGATGTGGGATATGATATATTTTCCCATCTCCTATTCAAAACCCTTCTCACAAAGTTGTCTCCTGAATAGTCCCAAGTGAACTTAGTAAGGTTTTCATATCAGATTCCTTCACGTGGTTAGCTGTGAAAGTGAAAACTTATACCTTTTAATCGAAGCTTAAGTTCAGGTTAACTCCCAGGTCGGGTACAGAAAATAATGATTGGGAATCGGGTTTCAACCACTTGGTAGCATTATTAAAAACTTCTAATGTTTCGTGTGGGAAAGGGGTCATATGGTCATATGGCTGAAATTCCATCTGGGTTAATAATTTCTTATAACTTAATAACTGGTATCGTAATAGTAATGTTCTTTCTACGAACATTAATTTTAATTTGTAGGCAGCTGCTCAATCACTTTACATTTCACATAACTATTAAACTTATTTTGGAAATGCTTGTATAAAATTGATCACAGTGAAATTCAAATGCTGCCACATGAAAATAAAAAACAATTGGAAATAAACAAATTGGAGTTTTTTGGTTATTGCAAGAGATTGAGCTGCCAGCAGCGGAATTTCCGCAAGAAGAATGTTGAATGAAAATTGGGGTTCAAACTGAGAGGTTGCAGCTCTGAAGCTGGAACTACGCTTTTGAGTGCCTAATAGAAACAACTAGTTGCAAAATAACAACTAGTGCAATGAAAAACATGAAATTGTTGCTCGAATAGTTTGGGGGAAATATTCCAAAAATTGGTTTCCACTCGGAGGAACAGATCGATTTAAATAGAGTTGCAACGAAAGGCATTAAATCACGCAGTCAGCGAGAACATTATTAAATGATGTTGGACTTATTAAAAAATAGTTAAGCCCCTTCTTTAAAGAGTTTATTGAAATTAGCATTTGTAGTTTACCATTAGCACATAAAATTAGAGGAATGATGAGCAGTCGCTGTGAGTCCCAATTTGTTGGGCAGTAAAAACCAATCGCCCGACATTTTGCAGCACCCAAGATCTTGTGCAAAGTTTTCCCCCAGCCGCTGCTTACATTTGCCTAGCTGCTGTTTTTCTTTACTTTATGGCCAGAGTATTTTTGTTGGCCCGGAGCCCCGGCAAACTGCCACAGGAACCAGAAACCGGCTAAGGCAGCAGGAGCAGCTTTTCGATTCAATTTCCGTGTTCACAATGCGCTTGTTGCTATTTTGCATACTCAGGCAGGATGGCCTGGGGATCGAGTGGGTTTGTATATATGTGGTGTATATAGTATCGAAAACATTGGCAGCTTCTCGAGTAGGCGTGACTTAGTTTCTTGTTCTCGGCTAAAAGTTTTCTTCGCCTCTTTTTGCACTAAGTAATTCGCGCAAACTGCAAGATTTATGCACTCCGCACAGGCGAAACTTCAGCTGCAGTTGCGATTCTTATTGCCGTTGAAGTGCGAGTGGGAATTAAATGGGGTTTGGCCTTCAGTTCGCTGAACAATATCCGCGCATCAAACTCTGCCAACTGGATTTACAGGGCATCGAATTTGATCGAGCTAGGTGGGAGCACAAAATATATGGTACGAGTATATGGTATTATTTGTGAAAGTTTGTGAAAGGAAGTATACAAGAAAGGAGTACTATTATTTATTTAAACACATTGTTCATCTGATTTATTTACGCCATAAGCCGTAAGCTGATTGTGAGTGCTGAACAACCTTGTGTACCTTAGCATAGAGTACTCCTTAAGACAACATCCTCAGTTCTGTTTTCTTTCATTGGGGCTCCGAGAGAAAACAAAAACTTCCGGCTGCATATCAATAACGAAATAAACTTGTTACTTGCCAAAGATGCCGAGGAAAAAAGTGTGCTGAAAACTTGCAAAAGATTGAAATGCATCGCTTAGTCGGAACTTTAACCCTCGAAATTCCAAAATCTTCGAGTGGATGATAGGAGATCAGCTTGTTCAGAGCGAGCAGACATCATAAATGAAATTAAGTGAAATTATCAAAGAGAGCCAAAGCTCTCAAATGTCATGATAAAATGTAAAAAGTGAAAATATATTCAGACAGCATGAGGAATAAAGAAAATCTCTACGCCGGCAATCTATGCAACATTCATTTTTCTTCTATCACACATAGAACCCAACTCGTCTTGATGTTGAAAAATTGAAAAAACGAAAGTCAACGTTGGGACAGGGCTAAAAAAATGAGGAATGGAAAACGGGAAACGGGAAACGGGTGGAGTAGAAGAAAAATCTCTCCCTGATGCGCTTAACCCTTTGCAAGCGAAGTTTTGGACTTTTCCCTTTTTTTGCTCTCGTTCTATCTGATGATACTGAGAGGCGAGTTTCATAATGATAATAATTTTGTGCATGATTTATGAATGAACAAGTTTTATGGCCCCGAAACGATCCAGGCCATAAGCCCAGTGCAAACGTTAATTTCGAGGAAAGTGGGAAAAAAGGCCGCTGGCCGAAGCACTTTCTTCGAGACTTTACCGCCCTATTGCACTCTAATATTTATTTCGACTTTGGAGCATAGTAAATTTGCATCTTTCGGCGTTCAAATTTCTAGTAGACCAGGTGAAAGCTGTGTGCCGGTGCTGGAAAACCCTTTGGAAATCATTTCGGTGTGAAATTGTGTCCGCACAGGGCCGAAAAAGAAAGAGAGAGTGAGCACGTGAGCTCATCGAAAATGCGCGCTAGTAAAAGTTCGCCATGCCAGGAAAATCGCAGAAAAGCCAGGGAGGATGGAAAATGCGGGTCAGAAGGTAATGCTCTCGCACTTGCTTTTGGCCCTAGCTCAAATTCGGGTCCGGCGCTGTTTTCGCCATTAAATTGGGGCCCTAAAGTGCGCCAGACTTTACCCATTTCGTTTTAGTATTTTATATCAGGCACCAGAAC